CGTATAACATTGTCGATACGAGCCCCTTTGAATAACCCTCGCATTCCCGGATCGTCACTGCGCAGCTTGGTGCTAGCAGTGCTGCGATGAGACTTGTGGCTTTCGCCTGTTGGGCGTTGGACAACCTTGCGAGACGGGCTTCTAGAAGAGCCCCTTCTATCCATAGACTTTCGATCACCCGAGGATTCAGGCGAAACTTCAAATGGCGTCTTGGGCGCACTGGCCAAATCCTCCGCGCTGGATCTCTCTTCCGAAATGCGCGAGCCTCTTTCCTTGCTTCGCTCGCGGAATATCTGTTTGACCTTGGAAAACGGGTTTCGAGTAGGGGAGTTCGCCCGGCTTGACCCAGGTGAGAGATCTCCGCCGAGCGCGGGGATGAAGGGATCTCCACGAATGGCGCCGTCTGGAGAGTTGGGGAGAGATGAGTCGACTTCAAACGAGCTTCTCCTTGCAGGGACCGGAATCTCCAGACTTGACCTTCCCATGCCGCGTTGAAGGTGCAACGGAGTGAAGCGAGGCTTTTCCTTACTCTTCCTCTCATCAGACTCGCTCGCCTCCACGATAGACGCCTTTCGACTGTGTTGTCTTGACTGTGGATGTGACGTGACCCCAGCATTTCGCTCCGGCGTGACGTAACCCGATCCGTCCGGCTTCTTGGGGCCATTTTCACGCGCCTCCATGGCAATCATTTCAAGCATCTGCTTCTCCAAGATGTCTTGGTGACTGCTGGTGAGCGTGCCTGCTCGATTCCTCCTCTCCTTCCTGAGCTTGCCTTCGTTCTCGCTCTCAGACAGATCGGAAACCGAAGTTTTGCCGTTCTTCCAGTCGTAGTGACTATGCACTGAGTTGCTGTGCCGGTGGTGGTGATGGTGATGATGTCCGGTAAGATCGTGCAGCTTCTGGCGGGCACGTTCTCGAGCGCTCGCTGTAGAATGTTCCGTGTCCGACTTGGCAAGCCCCGGGTTGCTGGATTTCGGATCGATCATGGCCCCTATTCCTTCGTATTCTTTACGCCCTGGTGTCTGTCCTGACTCGCTGCCATACTCTTCGTTCTGCCTAGACAAAGGTCTATGTAATTCGACGTTCTGGGGGAAGATTCGGCGCCAGTGACGATCTTCAATCAGCTGTTTGTGGTGATCTTGCTCCAGCCAGTACACATCGGCAAGTAGGTCCGCTGCGTCGATGCTCCAATCCAGCCTTGGTCTTCTCGGCTTGTTAGCGCTGGTGGTGGCCTGAAGAGCGTTTTGCTGCTCTACCACGTCTGCATCCGTGAAAGGCGGCAGCGTACAGCCATCCGTACTGGTCTGGCCCGTCGCAGCCCATTTAGCCACCTCATCAACCCAGTCGGCGACTTTGATGAAGTCTCCAAAACCCTGGGCCTCGCCATCGATCGCCTTGCGCTCCCGAGCTCGCACCTTCCTGTTGCGGATGTATTGTAACGGGTTGTAGGGACGCCCCAGCCGCACGCTGCCATCGGCACTACCATAGGTGGGAATCCTCGCAACTCCTCCAGAGGACGTAGGCGGACTGGCAGTCGTTGGGCGGCTCTGGTTGTGCGACTGTATGGGTGGGACCAGCTCCAGCAGGCGCCTGTATTGGGCCATCAGCTCCAGGTGCTCCTTTGCCTTTTGTACTCGTGCCAGGGTTGACGCGGTAAAGTGGTTTCGAAAGGTGCCTTCCCGGCTCATGTCGAACGTCGCCTGCAGCGGGCTGCTAAGCATTCCCGTCGAGGGTAATCGCGGAGTAAGTGCCTTTTCAGGCCCCGGGGACCTCGTTCTCGACATTCTCCTCTGCTGTTGCAAGTGGTTTTTGAGGTTGGCGCCTGTCGTTCCGTCTGGAAGCTGTGCTAGCGTCGGCACAGCCTGAGGCGGCGCGATCCTTCGCGACACCTGCCGTCGAGATTCGCTCAAGTTAAGAGCCATGTTCACGATCTGCGCCGAGTCGATATCGAGTGGGGCATTCGCAGGCGGCGCGAAACTCGTCCCCGACAACGGTCTACTGCCGTTGGGCGCATCCCGTTTCCTGACCGTCAGTCTATTCGTAGGTTGCGGCGGTGACGAATCGCCATTTCGCCTTGGCGGGCTCTCGAGCCCAGCGAGTCCGTAGCCGGCATCGCGACCAGCGCTGGATCCAGACCTGTCCGATGCCCTTTCCGAGTCTTTCGTTCTCCGGCTGGGTGGTATGTTTCGCGTTACGTGCCGTAGTCGGGGTACCTGCTCCTCTTCCTCGGAATCACCATCGTTACGAAAGGCATCCTGCAGCAAAAAGGCTCCGTTAGAGCGATGCCTAGTGGCTCTCTGCTGCTGCTGTTTCCTCGCATCGGCCCTTCCCCCATGGTATCCATTTGTATGTTCAGCATCTTTCGGGCTCGATGCAAGTGGGCGGCGCGCACCGCTAGACTCGTCGGGCGATGGCAAAAGTGTCGTGTCGTTGAGGAGGCTACCTGTGGCACTCGACTCGCCCGTCTCGTAGCTACCCCTGCTGCTGCCCCTATCGCCAGGCATGGAGTGTGGGCTCAGCTTCCTCGTGAGAATGGCACGCTGCTGGGCGGCATCTTTCTCCGTCATGGCGGCGGAGATGCTCGCATGGCCGGCCAAGCTGTGTTATACGTTGTTACCAGCCCGTTGGTCGGTTTCGACGCCGTTCGGTCGTCGTCTTCGTAGTTGCCGTCGTCGTCGTCGTCGTCAAGCTTAGCTTGCTCTCGTCTGTCCGGTCTTGGGATAGTGGGCGGGCGATGGAAAGTGTCGGTTGGGTAAAAAACGATGAGGGGGGAACTTTTAGGGGTTCGCGACTCCCATGGTACTCTTGGTTGGATGCAAGGGGGTGGATGGCCGGGTTCAAGACGAGTCAAAAAAAGAGCCAAGTAACGGAACACCCCATGTGAAGGGACGAAAGGTGACGAAGATTTTGGAGACGTTGGCGCTGATTCGTCCGAGCCGAAACAGGGCATTGACATGTGCCAGCTGAGCATAAGTTGGCGTCGATCTCTCGGTGCCCAGGATCGTGGCAGTCCAACTTTCGACCGTACAGTATCCGTAGCAGCAGCAGGTTGTAGGAGCGCCAGTAGCAGCGGCAGCGACAGCGGCAGGAGTGAAGCAAAGCGGCGAGCACACGGACAAACACAGCCCAGGGTTCCTAGCCAGCTGTAGTGCTCTTTCCAACTCAACGCCTACGAATACAAAGTACCCTTTCACCCATTACGCAGCCAAAAAGCCTGGCAGAAGCAAGTACCTTACTACTACGTACTCCGTACCTCTCCCATAGCTCTGCCGTGGCGTTGCAGCCGACCACGCTAAGATTTGCTCCACCCACTGACCCCACACATGCAGAAGAATGGCCCCACCCGATTCGGCAATCGCCGGAGCGGAACATCCTCCAGACCCGGACGAGCAGCAAATTCAGTCCAATCGCAAGGAGGGAGACACTGGGATGGTTCAGACCAGGCGGAGAGGTGCCAGCCGACCAACGGCACGACAAACAAAGAAATCCTTTGTCTCGCATGTTTGATTTTCCCAACGTCGACAGGGACATCAAGCCTCCAATTCCCAGCCAAAGGCAAGAATAGGTACTGCACGGAAAAACAGTACGGCTTTGATATTGAGTGGTTGTTGAGCGCGCTAAGCCGGCAGGTAAATGGATCCCCCGGTCCCCCGGTCCGCGCTAAGGTTTCCCCGATCAGACCGCCCATTGCATCTGAAAGGGTCTCCCTGCTTCAAGCATATGTTCGACATCTTTCAACCACATGGCCTCCGTTTCCCTATTGCGTTGTAGACGAAGACTCTAGACGGATGCACTTGATTGAAATCACCATACAAAGTACTTCGTAGCCTTGAGGTTGCTGAAGCTGCTTCTCCAGTTACCGACTGTGGTACACAAACATAAGCTTAAATATGGCCCCGAAGCCGTCCAGATTGCCCTTGCCAAGAGTCTGGGCAGCGATCTGGTATTGTATCGTGTGTATTGTATCGTGTGAGTTTTCCCAGATTAAAAGTCCAAGCCATCCAAGACAATCGTCTACGCCAATGAACCTGGAAACAGGAAGCACATGATACAATTCAACCTAGTCAAATATCCCCGAGTTTAGATATCGCTCACTCTCCTTAACTAATAATCCGCCTATCCATAGGCCAAGAATCGTGTGTATAAAATACGTCAGTCCGCAGGAACAAGCCTGATTTCTATAACCAAACCGGAAGAACAAAATACCTAAAAGCAAAGTAGCAAAAATACAAAAAGCTCGGCCCCCTATAACAGGGAAAGCCTACGAAATATCCGAGGAGACTCTTACCAGCCTCAGGTGTAACGATGCAAGGATTTTTACGAGACACAAACACGGGACTCGAACCCGGGACCTATGTGTGCGGGGCTATTCGAACGCAAATGCGCCGACATTCTCCGCTACGACACAGGCCTTGGTGATAATAATGAACGAAATTGTTTCCTATGACCTACTGAGGCAGTGGCGGTGGGCGGTGTGTGTGAATGAGGATGGTTGGGATGAAAGTTGTGCCTTGGCGGCTGCCTTGACGGGAAGGAGCTTGACGAATACGTTTGCTTGAATACTTACGCATCACCTATCCCCTTCTGGTGTTGATGGCTCGCAAAACCTCCCACGTCCGTGCTTTTCAGGGACATGGTATCATTCTCATTTTCATACTCTACATCGTCAACATCAATAACACAGAATGATATACCAATGCAGCGTAGAGGGAACAGATTATTATAGCTTTACGAAACATCAGAGAAAATCGAGTTAGGTATTTTGCGCTCCTAACGAGGGCCTGTCAACAGAACACGCCCTTCCTTTCCATTCTTCCAAGCTTCCGTCCCGCTCCCTCTTCAGTGTCCAAATTCATACAAAGAATCCAACGCGGAGCCCATCCCGTATACCTGGCGGGCCCGAAAGGGGGAACAAAATCACCAACAACAAAAGATGGGCGCAGACAGTCTCTCGCATTTGGGGTGACCTGGGGGTATCGGGGTATCTCACCCTAACCAACTTAAGCGTGAACAGGTGACTTGTACTCGGAGAAGAAACGCTCGTGGATGCGGCCCATGTACTCTACCAAGGCGGGCTTCTCACGGATGAGAGCAGCGTGGACGGGGTTACTGTATCGCGATATGTTAGCTCTTTCTCTTTGAACTCCATCCTTCTCATGACCATGCCGTTACTTACACAGTGGTGCCGAGGACGGTGGCGAGGTTGCCGTAGACGATGAAGTCAGCCTCGGATGGACGCTGTCCGCCCAGGATCCAGAAGGGCTCTCGGGACTCCCGCGAATCGAGGCTCAGCTTCGACAGCGAGGTCTCGCAAAAGCCGTTCAGGGACATGATAACGTCGGTGGCAAAGGCCTTAACCTCTTCGTCAGAATAGCGGCCGACACCCTGGAACCACAGCTGCGAGTTGACGTAGCCGCGAGCCGCCTGGGTAGAGATCTGCTTGGCGCCCCAAACAAAGTGGGAGAAGGGGCCGTCGTGCCACATCATCTCGTACTGGCCGCGCCATCTCTCGTACAACTACGTTGAGCGTTAGCGTATGCTCCTGTTTCCTATCACTATCATGTTGCGGGTTCTCCTTACAATGAGGAAGTAAGCGCGATCCTCCAGCATAGCTCGGATGCAGGCATCCTTGGCCTGGTCGGAGGGAGAGAGCTCCTTGTTAAGATCCTGGAGCTTGCCGGTCTGCACAAGACGCTTGATGATAAACTGGGACTCGCCCACAAGCTCGTCCGAGTCGGCAAGCTTGACATAGGGCACCCGGTACTTGGGTGCCTGGAAGATGTTGGCAGCGCGGTCTACGTGCTGAATACCGGCATGGCGCAGGCGAAGACGCAGTTGAATCGAAAAGGGCGTGTATCCATACTGGCCGGTAGGGCGATCAAAACTGTAGATGATCAGGTCGTGTCCAACTCCCTTCTCCACTGCGGCTTCGTCCTCGGCAGCTTCTCTAAGCTTGCGCGGAAGGTAGCGCTTGAGAGCCAAAGCATTCTGCTTGGTGTTCTGGGCTCCTGCCGGTGCGGTCTTCTTTGCCATGTTGCGAACGAGGGGGGTATATGGGTATCTTTGGGGGGTATCTCTGGGTATTCAATGAATAACTAACTGTTCTATGCTACCGCAGACCATAGGAGGCTTCTAGCTGTATTATTTATTGTTTTCGATGCAGCTTCGGAGGTGTTCGACACGGGCGGCCAGCTCGGAGCTGCTGGAGCTTTACAACATGGTAGGTGCTGGTCGCAATGCAATGGAAGCCCTTGGCTCCCGAAACATGGCCCGAGTCAGACCGTCAAGTAAAGCGAGGACAAAGCTGAAAAGTCCCAAGTCTGTCTTGCATGAATGCAAAATCAGATGGGGTATTGCAAGTGGATGGGAGAGAAGCCTCGCAAAGTGATAATCTGATATCAGCCACGTCATAGCTGTTCCATGTTGAGTTGGTGGACAAGCCTAAGAACGAGGCTAAAAAAGGGATGCGAAGTGGTGGTGTCTGAATATGCATCTGGATTTGAGCATAACCCCAACTTGTTCGTAGGGATATCGTGGCCATTCTGTAGCCTCGTCTTCCCGGCCAATTTGGGAGCTCCGTGGCCGTTGCAATTCCTGCCCGCTCAATCGCCAGACCACCTGACCCCAGGTTTATGCCCAACTCAAACCTAAAACACAGTCACCGTATTAACATGATCGTTCTTGAGTACTTCAAACACGAGGCCGGGGAATCCAAAAAGAGTAGTGGTTGAATCGTCGCTGCCATCAAATCTCTTGGCGCCACTGTCCTCCCAACCTCCAAGAAATTCGCAGCTGCTGCCGGGGCTATCACCCCAGCCCCTATTGAGCACCATGCCTCTTTGGGGGGCTCTGAAGTCGCCTTCAGGGTACGCGCTGTTCCACCGTTCGTTTAGTCTCTCTTTAATCTCGGTGAACTTGGTCTCTGAGTTTGCCGCCGCACCGGGAGAGCCATCGTCAAGATAGCTAACTTCCCAACGGCAGCGACGGTGTCTGTTGAACTCATATGATCCAGGTACGTTACCATGAAGGACTAGTTTCGTAGCAACCAGTCGATCAGGAGACTCCGCCTTGATGGGTTTTCCTGGCGGCACTTGAGACTCGTGTTGCGAAGGCGGTGGTCTTGATGGGGGCGAGGGGGTAGACACCAACACATCAAATCCTAAGTAGAAGTAATTGTAGAAACATTCGCCAGAAACGTTTCCGGCGATGTCTTCTTCGATGGCTTCATCGTTGGAATCGTCTGAGCCAGTGTTGGCAGATGATTGGTCAGTGTCCGTGAGATCGTCTGGCCGATTCAAGTCAGCGCCGTTTGACCGAGCTCTGCTGTGGCTCGCCGTCCGAAGCTTGTGTATTGTCATCCTCTGGTCGTTCTTCCGATAAGTAGCGTTCGGGGGACCGAGCTCAGCGATCAACTCCTGTGGGCTCGTCTCTCCCAGGATGATCCAAAGGGACGAGTTGGTCCACTTGCGGAACAACTGGAGCTTCCCACCACCATGGATCTTGACCAGCGAGATCTCATCGGGAACGACATCCTTCCCCCTTGGAAGAACGGGAACCGTTTTGACACTCGGGAGAACCTCTGTCCAAAGGCTCTCTCGGGCTTGGGCCCACGAGTCTCCGCTGAAGACAGCCATGGAAGTGGGCACCTGGCTTGTCGCAGCAGAGAGGAGGGACACCACATCCTTATTGGGGGAGTACGCAGACTCGGCCAGTCGGAAGGTAAAGGCAACGCCAGGGTAGGACAGTATGTAGTTACCCAGGTTATCGGAAGAATCGGGTGTAGGGGGTATGTACTCTCCACCATAGGTTGGTCCGAGCAAGCGATGGTAGATTTGTCGGAAGGTTGGGCCGGAGGTAGATTCTCCGGGAACTGGAGACGATGGCGGTCCCTGCGCGTTGGCGGGTTTGACGAGATCACGGTCCTTAAACGTGACATGATTCTTCGTGAAGTCGACAATCTCTATCAGGCGCAGACGCTGTTCCGGACCGTCGAATCGTAGCCTTATGCCGTTGGCAGGGAGGCTGAGTGTTACGGGCTGTTGGACGGGTTGCTCGCGGGAGTAGGCAAGGTCGAGTTGTGGAAAGCGTTGCGGTTCGGCCTTCAGTCGCGTCAAGACATCATGCAAGGACGCTCCAAGAACTAAGCGACGAGCAATAGAGTTAGCGTCCGAGTGTGTACTGCATCAGGCAGAGTTAATGCAAACCAAGAAACCCCAGAGCTCGTCCTGGGTGCAGTTGCGCAGTGAAGAGCGACATGATGAGCAATCGGATCGTGGCTCAGCGCGGGGTCCGCCGAGTGTTCAGGGCGGTGTTGTTGCAGGAACTGCGTCGAGTTCTAGAATGTATATGGTGGCATGAGATGTGGTTACTGGTGGTTTTGGTAATGTCTTGCGCAAAGGAGATGTGTATGAGTGAAGGAGAGTGTTCCGAGAGTCAGCAGTAGAGACGGCGCAAGTTGTTCTCCTGTCGTTGTTCACGGGTCCGTCAGAGGGGTTCATGTGATGCTGCAGCAGTGACAACGGACTAGCGGGGCGTGGGGTCGGAATGAGACGTCACTCGCTTATTAGAGGTACAAGGTACGAGATAGCACCGTTTGAGCAAATCAGAGTCGTTGAAAGCAGGTGCAGCAGATCCACCGGGCATGCAGGGGCCATGAGCTCTTATCTAATCGGCCAGCAAGCTCCAACGGAACACCCCACCTCAGTGAGGAGGGAAGTTACTTACAGACATGAACCAGTGGAGGATGGGGAAGCTGTTGGGGATGATTGAGCTTCCTTCCGCTGCAAGCACGACAAGTCACGATCCAGGTACCAGTGTAACTCACATTTTGGATCTAATTGGAAGGCAATAGTGAGGAAAGTGCTTGCCAAGAAAGAGATCTTCAGTCCGTGTCAAAGTATCTTCTTTGCCCCAGGTAACTAGGTACATCTCTGAACTATTGGCAGGCGCGGGGAAGATAGCCAGCGTACTTAGCATCAACATCATCTCAAGAATGTGCCAACGCAACCTCTTGGCTCGTCGGAGAATCGCCTCTTCCATCTGATTGCAAGGTTCTGCAACATCATGAACTTCTTCTGTACACGAACGCCAGTCAACAAAAGCCAATAAACAGAACTTGCCAGAGATCAGGACACTTTGTATGCCACCGGACATACCTCCGGAAAGTCTCTCCAATTCCCTCGCACGAGGCTTCCGGCTTTTCCACCGGCTGCCTTACTGTCTCCGCATGGAAACCATCCCGCCTCTGCAACAAGTGTGTTTGCGACGGCCAGCAAGATGCTTCATTCGGTAGATTTCGCTTTCTCTCGCCTGAAGTTGAGCACGGAGAAGCCTCCAAGGCCTGATGCCCACGGACTGTCTTTCGACGAACTCTCACTCTGTTTCACCTATTCTTGTTAGTTCAATCTACTTCTCTACAAGGATGGACCACAGTATCGCACATTTTTCACACCATTCAATCAATCTCCTGGCCAGTCCTCCCACCACTACGGCTCGCTCGGAATTGGCATCGATTTATGAAGAACTGTGTGTACGCCCCTCAGTACTCAATAGTGAGCCTGAACTGGATCACAGGCCGTTTCGTCCGCCTTTCACCATGCTATTCCATCAACCTCATACTTAGAGCCTTAGCGTTGATGCCACTGTCTCAAGCAGTGTCTTGGCTCACTCTTTATTTCGAATAATCAAGGGGAACCTAACGTTTTGCTTAGACTGATAAAGTACATCAACAGAAGCGCGGAGCATCAATGTTCAACATACTGCCTCATGTCCACCTCTCACTGGTATTATGCCACGATGGTCGGGTTGCCGCGGCACTCGTACCTCGTCTTCGGATTCGCCCTGCCTTTTAATTGACTTTGGTGTGCCTCTCGGAAAAGACATGGAGAGCGGTTCTCGGTCGGCGCAGCGAGTGCTACTACTCTTCAATTTTCAGAACTAGAGTCCAGTGAAGCCTCACAAGCCCCGGAATTCACGGCCTTCTTGTCTGGTTATGTCTGGGCGTACACTTATTCATCTCCAGGAGCAGCTGTAGCAGCTAACCCTTAGCAAGCTTGTCGATGCCTCTATTCCCAACAGACCGACACGGGATCAAAGTCTCACAAGTATGTGACGAGCAAGATGGTGGAGTCGACAGCTGGATGTGCCTAGAATTCAATCTGCAGAAGTGAGTAGACGACCGTGGGTGAGCAAGCGACCTTTCCACGGGCCCGACTAATCCCATCAAGTACTAGCATGGTCATCGGACCTAAACCGTGTTTCTTCGATGGAATTATGGGATCAGTATCCACGATGAACATGAGCCTTGTCGCTCGATCTCAATTGTCATTGTTAGAGTGCTTCTTTGCATCTTCTGGACTACAATACTTCAGGCGGTATTCGTCAAAACTTGCAAGAATCACGGCGTCCCCGATCCGGGGTATCTTGCAATTTTTGAGGACCGCATTTTACTGCGCTAAGTATGATCATGCCGTCAAGTAGCAAAAAAGCAATGGAAACGTCTGTGAGCTTCTCTGGTTATTCTCCCCAGACAGGTATTTCTACTGACTTCGTTATAGCAGGTCGACAGCTTTTACAGCACCGGTGCCGGTTCCACAATCTCCGCCTGACTCGACTCTTCAAGAATACGCGGGATTGCCCTTCAGTGTCACTATGATTCGGTTTCATTCTTCAACTTGAAGTACGACGATGGATCTCGCAGATCGATGCCGGCGGCAGCGGACAGTTTCAGGACGACAAGTGGGCCGACCGTGCGATCACGCACAGATTATGGCCTCAGAAGTCGCATGCACTATTCACTTACCTTCCACTCTCTGAGCCACTGAAATCGAATCCCATTGCATAGCTCAACATCGAATTCGCATTCATACCCAACGTAGGCGCCTCGATGCCCAACAGTATCAGCGCTTGTATGCGGCAGGCACAGCTTAGCTAGATCCCAGGTATTCCAGGGCTTAACATGTCGGCACACTAGGGGTCAACGACGTCAACGCCGTGGAATGAAGGAGTATGACCCATCTCTACGTCTGAAAACA